CGTGATAATGCTGTTCCAACAACTTGTCTACAAGCTTGCTTTTGGAACACCATTGACACAACTTGTTAACAAGCTTGCTACAAGCCCGTTGAGAACATATCTTGTAGACAAAGTTATTGGAACAGCATTATCACGACAAGTTTGTCTTCTAAAATTGCCTCAGCCAGCAATTTATTTTGCGCCGCCATCTTGGATGTTTACTTTCGTATACTACGCATGCGCTGTTACGACAATCCGTAAGCAGATAGCTTTCGTTTGCCGCACACGGAAAGATTTTGGCACGCGAGGCAGAAATTATCAAACATGTTAGATATTTGGCGTAAGTGGCACGAATGACAAAAGTTGTTCGTAAATCGCCCGCACACGAGAGCTATCTCCTTACGCCAACAGTCACGAATGACATTTTGCTAAGCACATAGCTCTAGTGTGCGCCGGCCTTTACATTTATACTTTCATATTTCAATTCATTTTAACAAATTGATAGTGACATTTGTTTTTTTTTGACAGGATGGCACAATTCAAATGGATCCTATAGTTTCGACGGAAAAAAATTGAACGCGAAGAAAAACGTCAATCTTAGTTTCATATTTGCAAGTACGGCAAACGTGAAACCGCTAACGGCAAACCGCGGTTTGCGGTTAGGCGTAAATAAAATAAACGTCAATCTTAAGGTGTCTAATGAGGGCCTTTTCCCCCACATGCACAGTTACCGCGCGTACATAAAGATCATGCTGTGCAGTACTTTTATAAGATGGAATGTCGAAAATGTGAGTGGCTATGAGAAAGCAGGCATATATGCAGCTTTTTCAACAAGGAATATATTCTTTTTACTAGTAATCAAAAGGGCCTAGCTCATCTGAAAATATTGCTTCACTACTGGGGCAAGCAAGGGGCCTACTGCATGCATGGGGTAAATGCCCCAGTAGTTATATAGTTAAAAAATGACATGAGCGGTCGTGTTGTATCGGAGATACTTGCATGTGTTGTAATAGTTGAAGACAGAAGAATGCTCAACCAAAATCCTTTGTAGAGCAAAATATGTAGTTAATAGCGAGAAATAAGGACGGCCTAATAGATTTCCGAATAAAAATGATCAACACTTCCCTGAATCTTCCCCATTTATTATGGTCAATGTAGAAATTAATATTTTTAGGTCAGTTTCGTACTTCATGTTAGCAAATTAGCAGTATTGCATTTTGATTGGTCATCGCAAATCATGTGAGTGATCACATGACAGGACAATGAACGCTTGAACAATAACTCAGTGTTGTATGTCAGAGAGAGACGCACGGGTGTGCAAATTTATGTCGCACATAATTTTAAATAAAACTTTATAAAAATCAAGAGAAGGTCTTGCTTTTTAAAGTCAACTTTTGCGTTCTCAAACAATATTTTTCGCAATTAAAACTAAATTTAAACCAATCGAACGCCGCACGATGTGTGAAGTCATAAAGTTGCAAACTGAAAAATGGTCCTAGATCTAGGCAGGGCCAGACCCTGAATAATTAAATATAAAATCGATGAAAAAATGTACCAACCTTCAAAAGTATAGCTATTTAACTTACCTAAATACGCTGTTGTTCCTTTAAGTGGCGCAATTTGGTATTTTGGACAGTTTTTTGTGATAAGAAGATTTCCGCTTACTTTCACTTCATAAAAAATATTATTTGTAATGTTCTTGAAATCTTTGCATTTCTTTCGATACAAAATTTTCTTTTTAATCATGTCCTCCGCCACAGATTTCTCTTTCATTGTTATATGAGTATTTCCAATATTTTCAGCCAATTTTTTCAAGTCTGAAACTGTCTCGAAGTCAGTAAAACTGTTGTGCATTATGAGGAAACCGCTTTTATCCATGATAAAGCATCTGTATTTCTCTCGACACTCGGGGTACACTTCAGTGAATAGTCTACAATAAAATTATGTCTACAGAAAAATTATTTTCCAAAATTTGAGGGGGGAGCATGCAGTTGCCCCCTATCTCGTACGCCTATGATTACTGACCTAGTAGAATAACATTGAAGCAAAACTTTGCAAAGGAAAGGAAGTTATATGCTCATCTTGGGTCTTCGGTTCCAGTATTCAGGGACGATCGACGTTGCGAGCGGGGGTGTATAGGGTGCAACACCCCCGCCCAAATATTTGTTCATGAGTAATTTCAGGTAAACGTCTAGATAATTTAGGCTGATTTTCAGGTATATTATTATTTATAACAGCATTGACAGGCAAACGTGAAAGTTAAAAGGGAAAGCATGCAAGTTAAGAATGCCAAATTTTAGTTGCATTTTCGGGCTTTCTGAAGGTCTAACGCCTGTATTCTGGGGAAGCACTCATTCTCTAAAAACTCTTGTTGATTTTAATTTATTCATAGAGCTCACTCGAGTGCGACTTATCTGAGTAGCACTTGTCTTTTCTTATTCGTGTTGTCAGTGGGTTCCCATGTTTTGGAATCATAGCATTTACACATACGTATCAGTTGTACCCACAACACAAGAGAACCAAGTCTAGTTCTTCACAGCAAATATCATGGACGAAATCCAATGTATTCGTTCTTGAGTATGCAATTACCTCGGGTATGCATACGGGCGTTATACTTAGGATGAGTGGAAACTCATTGCATGTTGAGTTGCACTCATTGCATGTTGAGTTGCACTTATCTAAAATAAACTTACTCACACTCACACTCAATGAGTGGAAGCCGGTTCAACCTGAGCTTCTCTCGAGTGTCATTGCTGTTTTTGAATAGCTGGAGGGCTAGTGTCATACCTTATATACTATGTAACTATACTCGCCCTCCAGCTATTCAAAAACAGCATTGACACTCAAGAGAAGCTCAGACTGAACCTCCACTCATTGAGTAGTGTGAGTGAGCTTTTAGAACTCGGGCGATTGAGTGTGCATGAATGACACCTGTATTCTAAAAGCTCACTCATACTCACAATTAACGTGTGGACGCTCATTCTCAATGAGTGCAACTTACCACTCAATGAGTTCCCCCTCGAACTCACTGAGCAGATTGTTACACTCACACTCCAGTCATTCAAAAACATCACTCACCCTGGCCTCGAAGAAAGCTGACATGTGGAGTGAAGTGTGAGTTGACCTGCACTCACAAGTATTTACTTCAGAAAAATATGGCCGATAGATAGCTAAATAGACTGAATGCTGTAGAGAATATTATATTCAATAACAGAAATAGACGGAAGGCATATAATTTCGATATAGAGAAGTATACATGATGACCAACAATTTAAGAGCAGATATAGGTTAACAAAGGAAGCTTTTCAGGAGTTGCTGGTCATTATCAGACCAGATATTCGTGCACATAACGATAGGGGAAGACCTATATATACTCCCGCTCATATCCAACTGCTGACTACTCTCCGATTTTATGCTACTGGTTCGTTCCATTTAGCATGTGGAGACTTATATCAAATATCGCAGCCATCAGTAAGTCGAATTATAAAACATGTGTCGGAAGCTATTGGTCGACTAAAGAATAATTAAATCAAATTTTCTGATAAGAATACACCACATCAAAGTAAGCTTAATTATTACTGGCGCATTGGTGGATTCCCCAATGCATGGTTGGGGCAATAGACTGTACCCACGTTAAAGTATCATTTCTAGGGGGCCCAGAATGCAGAACTGTATCGAAATAGAAAAGGGTATTTTTGCATTAACGTGCAAGTTGTTTGCGAAGCAAATTTGGAAAATATAAACATTGTGACACGTTGGCCAGGTAGCTTCATGATGCTAGAATTTTTGACAACAGTCGCTTATATGCGAATTAGTTTGAACAGGCGACAACGATGGCGTTTTACTGGGAGACAGTGGCTATCCTTGTTGGCCTTATCTCATGACACTATACTGTTGAATTCCCAAACACGGCCAGAGCGAAGATATAATGTGTCTCAAATACGAACTAGAAATACGGTAGAGAGAACATTCGACTACTATTAAAGAGATTATCTCCATGGTTGTCTGCGTACAAATCTGGAAACAACACTCACTATTATTGTGGCTACAGCTATCTTATGATTAGGTTTTGTTGCGTCACTGTGTGACGCCTTGAGTAGTACAACATTTCATGTAAACCACTGGTCTGATATATTTGGTAAAGGATTCAAATCAATGTTTCAAGAAAAATGTATATTATACTGTATATGTTTGAAAACTTGAGTTGTCACGTATTATCTAACACACTTTACATATGTAATTATATTTTCGTAATATTATGCCGTTTTGCGTTTAACATCATTCACTTCAATTATTGTTTGTGTTTGTGCATTCTAGCACCGGTGAATGGTCTCTGTTGTTCTTCTGCATTGAGTTTTATGCTTTTGCTCATTGAATTCTAATACCGGCTCTAACTCAGCGTCAAGCACTTCAATCTTTCTTTTGTGTTCAGTGAGCAATTGTTTTCTTTAATAGCCAACAATTCCATCTCCGCGTGATGTTGTTGTTCTTGCAGGCTCAAACAACGTTCTTGAGCCTCAGATATTGGTTTCCTTGTGGCCGATAGGAACGACAATGCAGCCTCTGTAACAGTTGGTGGCTGTTGTTGCTGAGTTGGAGATAATGTAGCCTACGTACGGTGTAGACCCCAGCAGAAACACGTTTCGTGAGGGGTCTACGAATAAACGAAGAAAAGCTTGCCCGGCTACGTCATATCCGTTTTACGTTTTGGGTAAATTCACTTCAATTTATTCAAATTTCTGAAGCGTGCGTGAATGTAAATTTTCATTTGGCGCTTATTAAAGGCATTAAAATGTTCCATGGCGAGCATTGTGCAATACAAATGTGTTCTTTACTTCAAAGTCCCGTCGAATAAAAGCGATATTAATTTCTTGGACAGCAAGGACGCTGTACGTAAGGACTAAGGAGTTAGACGACCTTTCCTTCTCCATTTCACCCGCCTGGCGTTGGTAAACAAACGGTGAAACGCAGAAGCTTCAAAGAACGGTTTAATATGTGAACTAAAGCCTAGACAATACGATAACCAACGTGCACGAAACAGCATTAGGCGCTATTGATAAATGTCGTGAACCAACTAGGATTCGAGCCGACTTGCGATAAAGCTTATAAAAGCTTAGCTTTTATGCCCGCTACATTTAGTGTGAAATCGACTTTGTCTTCGACTTCGGAAATTGGATATCTTGACAAGTTTCAAGCCTTCAACAGCCTATAAACAGTTTGTACGAATGACAAGAACTTTTTAGTCCGTTCGAACATGTGTTTCAATGGTTGGGTATATATATATATATATATATATATATATATATATATATATATATATATATATATATATATATATATATATATATATATATATATATATATATATATATATATATATATATATATATATATATAGTCAGGGTATATTTTATTGCACAAAGACCGCCATGGAACATTTTAATATAAAGCGCCAAATGAAAATTTACATTCACGCACGCCTCAGAAATTTGAATAAATTGGAGTTAATTTACCCAAAACGTAAAACGGATACACCGTAGGCTAGAGATAATGTAGAAGTTGTCAAGTTGTATCTGACTGGACGTCGTTGTTATCGTTTTCTATTCAATTAATGAGAAATAAAATAAGACAGGCACTCCAAGTGCCTATCATGTGGTAATACTATGCGACAATTGTGTAATCTTTTATAACATTACACTTTTCAAACTCTTTGCTTACCTGATTCGTAGTTATCGTCATCAAACGGGTTTTCTAGGCTGTCGATTTGAGCAGGGATTATTGAAGCAATAGCCGATGATTGTTAGTCTGCTGGTGATGTGGATATACCACCACCAGTTAATTCAGCGGCCCGTTTTTCTTTAGCAAAAACCTTTTTGGCACGCGTTTTCAAATTTTCCCACTACTTACACCGGACTGCAAATTGAATTCTTGCGATAACGTTTCCCACAACACGTTTTTCTGGGATATTGTCCTGAAATCGTTTATTTTACTTTCCAGGACATCCTTGTGCTTTGCTACTAACTCTGTCCGTAGTGGTGACTTTTCTAGTTGCGGAAAGCGCCGCCTGCTTTGTGACATCTTGCACGTTGTCTTTGGAACTTCACAGCCGAGACAGATCACACTCTTATTAACATGAATGCATGCATTCATGATTGTTTTGTACTGAACTACTACACTCCAGTCAGTCACATTTGAATGCAAACTGACCTGACTCATACTCAGTCAATCGCACTTGAAGGCATCTCACTCGAGTTTAACTGGAGTGTGAGTATGAGTACATGAGTGAGACTTTAGAATATAGGCGTAAATCTTCAAAAATTTTCTCGGAGTAGCATTCCCCCGAGCCCCCTTAGCAGATTTTGCCCCGTATTCCATTGTGGTATTATATTCTTTCGAAAGAAACACCTGCTACTTGCATGTACAAATTAAAAAGCACACTAAATTTCAAAAAGTGCTTTCAGGTAACGTAAAAGTAATTTTAAAAATCAGGTAATTTTGACCCTCAAAAACCTTTTAAAAATATTAAAAAAGACTTAGACGTTGCGTGCAAAGGCCCTTTGTCTGAAAGTTGGCTCGTTCTATTTTTATATTTCCCTAACGCGAGGTCCAGTACAGGTAATGTAGCATTCTCCAAACGATATAAATATCTTTAATATGTCGTATCAAAGGCCTTTCGTCTGCAATTCAACAGCAAACTAAGGGCCTTGACTCGGAATATTGAAGTTTAATTTTTCTTTCGTGAGTAGTTCCGACAAAAACCTCAACGTCGTCAGAGCATTGCTAATAAAATAACAGAAACTGCTACCTAGCTCCCTATTTTACTTTATATATATTCTCTCTCATACTCTAACGTTATAATTGTTCCATATTTAAAAACCATGTTCGAGAAACCTTCAAACCCCTGTTGTATCTTGCTGCATATTATGGCTTACCTGTAAAATCTGAATAAATCAAGACTGGCATCTAAGACAGCTACAACTTCATCACTTGCATCATGTTGTCTTGAACTCTTTCCTTCGTACAACGAGTGAACTATATCAACCAAGAATCCAGCCCCAAATGGATCAAGGTAGGGCGTTGTTAATGTTAATTTACCTTTATTATTGAGTGCATTTTCAAACCTAGAAACAAAATAAAGTTAAAGTTTTTAAACTTTTATAGCTTTATCCCTATGATATACAAAAAGATCTGCTTTTTTTCTCTCTTGTATCTCCATATTTTAATATCGGTTCCTCTTATATATTTTTTCATTCCGAAATGGAGAAACTTAATTTTCCTGCTAATGATTATCCGATAGCACTTACAGATAGATGTATGAAGTCATTTCTTGATAAGATCTATAACTGTAAAGACAAAGTCCACACATGCTCTTAAAAAATTATCTATTTCTGCCCTCCTTTCACTGGATATCATGGATTAAAAATTCGGTCACAACTCTCTAAAATTCTCACTTAATTGCTTATCCACATATTTCCACATGTGTTGTTTTCCGCCCTTGTCGTCTGTCTAGTTCTTTCCTTTCAAAGACCAGATTTCCTTTGCCCAGAAATCACTTATTGTGCACATGTGCAAGTGTCAATGCTGTAGTGCATTGTCAACCACGTGAATGTCAGTTTATTTTAAAGCTGGATTTAAATTTTATATCGCACAGTGTGTCTGGGCTACCTATGGCAAAATATATCGTATTCACTAATATTAGCCGCGCTCGTAAATGCCACAGGGGGTATGAGTCCAATAGCTCATGGATCGACCAATCAGGATCGTTTTCAAACCCGCGTGGCCAGGGCCCAGAGCCACTCGTCTGATGACTCTGGGTACGAGACACGTCGAAACATTCCCACACGTATTTCAGAGCATAGAGGAGTTTCTGCTTTAACTGGTAATCATCTTGCTACTTCAACTATGTCTGCTATTCTTGCTCATAAGAACTTCCAAAAACACCCAGTTGCCAAGTCCGACTTCAAAGCCTATAAATTTCCAAAATTAACCCTGTCCTTAATGCTAATATTAGACCTACTCCTCTCGAGTTATTCTAATAACATTAACTTTCAATCACTAACGAACTACGTCACATTAAACTAATTACGACATTTGTTCTTTTTCAAATTTTAAATGTTATAACCGTTTTCGTAATTTAAAACCATTCTATTGTAAATATATATAGCAATTAGCAAACCATGTAAATTCCACTTCAAAGCTTTGAAGATGTTGTACTGAAAATAACGAAATGTTAGATAATATAATTTCATAAAATATGCATGGTATAAAAATTATTTGCTGGGGTCTTTTGTTCATTTTTAATTAAATTAAACTGAAATACTGAATTGCAGTAATTTCCAACGATAATGATTTTAGTAACCTCGACTTGATCACTCTGAACCTAACATTATGTGGTTCTAACAAGGTGCGAAATATCATAACTTTATTAAGACACGAAATACTTACGGGATTTAATTCGCGCGCAATACGTACTTGCAATATCTAATTGCATGTGAATGGCAACCATAAACACAGTAACATGAACAAGGACAATTGATGGGAAAGTTGGAGACTTAATAAATATTTCGTGCTAATCATGATCGGTGACACTGACTGGATGACTGAAAAGGGGATCTTATAAGAAAGAAGAAGAAGGGGATCTTATAAGAGAGAGAAAAAATTTACTCCAAGAATACCACAGGTTAGATGAATGCGACAATAGTTTCATTATTTAAGCAATCAAATTAGACTGCATCTATTAGAGACTACATTAGTCAGGCTGCATAATGTGAATCTACTACCACTGTACAATCTGAGTCTATTAATACTTCCAGTTTGATAACTGAACAATTCTTACCACAATCTCTTTGTTGGATCATAATTTTTATCAATAATTACTCCAGGTTTCGTAAATATTACACCGTTTGTTGTAGCATAACGTAAGGACGACACGTAATCCTCAAACTTGGAAACGTCGTTAACCCAAATCAGGTCAGCTTTTAATCCAGCCATAGTCATTTCACGAACTCCTGGTCGAAATTTCGGTTCAGGATTTGGTCTGCCATCTTTAATATAATTCTTAAAAGCATCAATTGTCATCTTTGTTTCCTCCAGGATTGCGTAATCATAAGGCTTTTCAAAGGATTGCTCTGAGAACTTCACAACTGCTCTATCTAAAAAAATATTTGCCAAGATCATCGCTGAGTAAAAACAACATTTAATACATTTTTCAATGTAGGCGATTATGCATAAGTGGAAACTATCCAAAGAAGATGGGTCATACTTTAAAATCGTCCTAGCTAGACGCGATAATTGGGGGGG